AGATTTAATTTGCTCTTCTTTTTCTAGTTTCATAAGGTGTAAAGTTTGGTTATTGATTTGAGATCTTTCTTCTTTTATAATGGACGTTTACAACTACGAATTTCCCTCTAAGCACTGTTTTACCTGCATCCCATAAGTTTTCAGATTCTGTGTTTTTGTTTTCCTTCATCTCAAAGTAATTTCTAGTATTCATTGTGATTACTTCTTTGACTCCTTGATTATTTAGAAGTGTGTCATTTATTTCTACATATTTCTGAATTTCCCAATTTTTCATCTGTTATTAATTTCTAATGTAATAGCCTAACATATGGTCTATCTTGGAAAATGTTCCACATGTACTTGAGAAGAATATGTATTCTACTATAATTGGCTTAAACATTCTATAGACGACTGTTAGTTGTTTGTAGTTTTGCTTGAGTCTTCAATTTACTTTTTAACCTTCTTACCTGTTCTATCCATTATTGAAAATGAGCTATTAAAGTTTCTAACTATTATTGATGAATTGTCTGTTCCCCCCTTTGATTCTGTTGGTTTTTATTTCATATATTTGGGGGCTTTGTTGTTAGGTGCACATATATTTATAATTCTTTGTCTTTTTGATGTATTAACCTTTTTATCACCATAAAATGTCACTGTTTGTCTGTAGTAACAATTTTTGTCTTAAAATCAATTTTATCTCTTATATGTATAGTCAGTCCTCCTTTCTTTCGGTTACTGTTTGTACAGTATATCTTTCCACATTTCTTTACTTTCAACCTATTTGTGTATTTGAATCTAAAGTGTGCCTCTTTTAGATAGCATATAGTTGAATCATGGGATTGGGGATTTTTTCATCCCCTCTATATATCTCTGTCTTTTGGAGTTTTCAATCCAGTTACATTTAATGTAATACTTATGAGATAATATTTACACTTGCTATTTTGTCATGTGTTTTCTACATGTCTTATAAAATTTTTGTTCCTTTATTCCTCCATAATGGCCTTTTTTTGTTAAATATTTTTTAGTGTACCATTTTAATTACCCTGTTTATTCTATTATATTGTTTTTAGTTATTTTCTTAGTGGTTGCTCTGGGGATTGCAATGAACATTTTAAACAATCTAGTTCAGATTAATACCAACTTAATTTCAAAAGTATACAAAAACTTTGCTACAATATAGCTATGTTCCTTCCCTCTCTTTTGTGCTATTATTGTTCTACAAATTACATATTTTTATATAAATCCATAAACATAGTTTTATAATTATTACTTTATGCAGTTTTTTCTTAAATCAAATTGGAGGGAAAAGTTCTTAAAAACAGAATACATTTACACTGTCTTTTATATTTTCTATGCATTTGCTTTTACTGATGTTATTTATTTCTTAACGTGGATTCACATTGGTGTCTAGGGTCCTTTCATTTTACCCTAAAGAACTGCTGTTAGTACGTCCTGTAGGACAGATCTGCTAGTGATGAATTCTTTCGGGGTTTTGTTTACCCATGAATGTACTAATTTCTTCTTCACTTTTGAAGGATAGCTTTGCCAAATGTAGATTTCTTGGTTGACAGTCATTTTCTTTCAGTACTTTGAATATACCAACCTACTACCTTCTGACCTGCACAGCTTCTGATAAAAAGTCAGCTGTTAATCTTATTGCACCTTTTCTATTTTTTCTCTTTCCATGCTGCTTTCAAGATTCTCTCATATCTTTGACTTTTGACAATTTGACTAAGTCATTTCTAGGTGTGGATCTCTTTGAGTTTTTCCTACTTTGAATTCTTGGCTGTGTATATTAATGCTTTTCATGAAATTAGGAAAGTTTTTTGCCATTATTTCTTTAATGTTCTTTCTGTTCCTTTTACTTATTCCTCTCCTTCTGAGCCCCCCATTATGTGTATGTTAGTGTTCTTGATAGTGTCCCACAAGTCTCTGAGGCTCTGTTCATTTTTCTTCATTCTTTTTCTTTTTTTCCCCCAAACAATAATCTCACTTGACCTATATTTATGTCTGATGATTCTTCCTTTGCCATCTCAATTCTGTTATTGAGATCCTCTAGTGAAAAAAAAAACTTCAGTTATTGTACTTTTCAGCTCTAGAATTTCTATCTGGTTCTTTTTTGTATAACATTTATCTCTTTATTGATAATCTCTATTTGGTGAGACATTATTCTCATACTTTGCTTTAATTCTTTAGACATGGTGTCTTTTAGTTCTTTAGATATACTTACGATAGCCAATTTAAAGTCTTTGTCTAGTAAGTCCAATAACAGAAACAGGCTTTCTCAGAAACAGTTTTTATTGACTGCTTTTTTCCCCCTGTGTATGGGCCATATGTTCCTGTTTCTTTGTGTATCTTATAATTTTTTTTCATGAAAACTAGGCATTTTAAATAATATAATGTGGCAACTCTGGAAATTTGAATCACTCTCTCAGCAGTTTTTTTGTTGTTGTCGTTTCTGAGTTTTATTGCTGTTTGTTTGTTTAGGGACTTTCCTGGACTAAGTCTGTAAAGTCTATAATTCCTATTGTGTGCCACTGAATCTGCTTTGTTAGCTTAGTGGTCAGCTAACGACTGGACAGAGATTTCCTTAAAGACCTTGAATCAATAAGGGGTTTTTTTTTGATTCTTTGCCAAGGACTCTGTGTATATTGGGGCATGCCTTCAGTGCTCAGGCAGGCTGTTACAACTCTGCCTTGACTTTCACTTCCTGTTTTTATAGAGCATCAAGGTCAATCAGAAGTGAGCATTTAGAGCCTTCTTATATATTTTCTGGTTATGTGCACAGCTCTGCACATGTGTGTGGCCTTCTAAGTCTCTAGAAATATATTGGAGGTTTGCAAAGTCCTCTATGGACATCTCATTTCCTAGATGTTTCTTTTAAGTTTTCTGGGTGGCCTTTTGTTTGCCTCAATTTGTATTGCTGTCTCAGGAAGCTGCAATGTTAAATTGCCATAAAATATTTTTGACAAACTGCAGGGATGTGGCCTTTCCCACTGAGCAAACTCTGGGCCAGAGCAAGTAACAACAATGTGTATGAACGGGACTTCTCTCGATAGCTTCTACACAGTTATCTGGGAATGGGGCTTTTTGAATAGCTCCAAACCAAGTCTGCACCCTCCAGTGGCTGCTGTTTTTCACAGCTACTGAGATTGTGAGGCAGAGCTGAGGAGAAGAGGGTGGGAATAGGGCAAGTTAAAACACCGCAAAGCTTGTCATATTACTGAAATTCAACTGTTTTCTTGAATGAATTCTCTTCAGGTTGCTGCAGGCTTTTCGTTAATTTCCAGACTCCTGAAAAAGTTGATTTGGCAATTTTCTTCAGTGTTCTAGTTGCTTTTACATAAGAGTGGACTTTTGGAGGTTCTTACTCCCTCATTATCAGACTCCCCCCACCTGCAACACATAGCATTACTTTTAAATGGAAAAAATATATAAAGGTTAAATAAATTATGATATATCTCATATAATAGAATACTATACAGCTGTTTAAAAGAAGGAAGTAGAAAATAGAAGTTTGTGATAGTAGATGAGTGATAAGTGAAGAATCATTTTGCACAATATGTTGTGTGTGTGTGTGTGTGTGTGTGTGTGTGTGAAAGCAAAGAGGAAGATCTAAAATTAATTCATGTTACTATTAAGGAAATGGTAGTTTGCCCTTGGGAGTGAGTGGACCTGGAGCAGAAAAAGATAACCTTCTAAATCTGATACTGCCCCCCAAATAATTTGAATAATTTTTTACTTTATTTTTTGTATTTTACTCTGTTTCCCAGATTTTCTATATATTCATTTTATTTAATATTCATTATATTTAATAGTAATAAATGTTACTTAAGAAATATTTGGGCGTACATTTAGGCCAAATATTTCACCTAAAAATCCCAGCTTGGCCCCACTTACGTTGGTAAAGCCTTACTTTCAAAGCATTCACATCCCCTTCCCTTTTCTCCCAAACCCTGGGTGGTAACCTACATACCTAAAAGTTTTAATAGGAAATACTTTGATTAATGGAACATTACTTGGTTCATGGAGCTTTTTGAGAATCTGATGAAAATCATGTCTCATCTCTCCAGAAAAAAGCACATATATACATGATTTTGCTTATAATTTTCAAGGATTAAATTAAATTCACTGATCAGATTAAGAACTGCAGACATCATGTATTTATAAATATGAAGATGTGAAGAAAAGGCACAGATCTGGGAACTTTGAGTTTCTGTTTTTCTACAGAAGAAAAGGAAAGAGCCCCAGAGGGGAAGTGACTTGTCCAAGGTTAAATGATAACAGACACGAGCCACATTCAGGTGTCTACACACCCAAGTCAAGGCTTTTCCCATCAAGTTACTACTTGAATCATGAGACAAGTGACAGTTATCTTTATGTTCTCCCAGATTCTTATAGGCCCTGAGCTCTAGACAAACTCTCAATATTTTGACTTCTCCAACTAGCTCTGACACATACTCAAATCCAAGGATCTTTAGGATAGGGAAATAGAGGGAAACCTGGCCCATCATCCAACAGGTACTTATTATATTTAGATGGTTTCACTGTGCCCAACATGATGAGAGGCCCCAAGGGGTCACAGAGAAAGTCCAAGATATAGGACAGACAATCCAGCTGTGAAGACAGGACTAGGTCATGACACAATTCTGGAGCAACTAGATGTGGAGTGTAAACATCAAGAGAAGAGACTGGATAAGTTGGTGTGGGTATGAACATAAAGGGAAGGCTTTGTGGAGGAGAAGAGGAGGTGAAAAGATGTGCAGAAACTTAATAAACGGAGGAAAGAATAGGAGATATTGGGGAGAGAGGTGAATAGGCACTACGTAAGAAAAAGCAGAGAAAAAGGAAGGAGCACAGTGATGAAGAAACAGAGGGCCAAGACGGATAGTAAGTTGCCAGTGGTCTTCCACACACATCCCAAGCCATGGAGCCCCAGCATGCAGCCCCAGCTTGGGTGTCCTGTCCTGGGGCCACTCTCAAAAACTAACCATGCCTTGCATCTGTTTGACTCTCCACAGCTCCCCTTCACTGAAGGCCTGTACCACTTTTACCACAATGGCCTTGCCAAGGCCAAGAGAAGACGCAGCCTGCACCACAAGCAGCAGCTGGAGAGAGACCCCAGGGTGAGTTTCCCTATAAATCTGTCTTCTAACCTGTGTTGCCACAACTGAGCCCACTCAAGTTACTGCAGTAGGCAAAAGGGATTCGGGGCAGAGTGGCACTGGGGACTCTCCATTCCTCTATCTTGTGCATAATAAATAAACCCTGTATATGCTGGGGGGGGGGGGGGCAGGGGAGGGATAAACAGGGATACCACCCCTTTCTGGCTGTCTTCTCCTACATTATTGTAAAGACTTCTGGTTGCCTGTGAACATGTTTTGGCCTGTGATGGATGGGAAGACACCAAGCAGGATAATGAGTCATTTTATGGAAGCTTCCTACGGGTGAATCCACATGCTCTGAAGAGGTTGCCCTGCCCCCTATTGTGAATGGGGAAATGAGGGGGCCAGCAAGTGATCAGCTCACAATAGGCAGTGGGCTTCTCAGTATCCATGCATGGTTGCAGCCATGGGACCAAACCAGCCCCTCTTCTCACCTTGTATTTTCTCACATTGATCTAATAAGACTCTGATTTCCCTTATGCAAATCACTAAGAAAGAAATTAATAATCTAGGCAAGTTGTTCTCTGTACATTGAAAGCCGTATAACCTCTTCTCCAGGACTCTTGGGGAAAAGCGGATGTGAGGAGGGTCAGACATTTGAGTTAGGGACTTACATATGAGACTCCTTTTGAGCTGACAGAATCTGGAGACTTATTCTGGTGGGGCTTTTCATGTGAACATTTGACTGGGTTTACTCTGGGTTTTAATTGGGAATGCAGATGAAACATACTCCTCAGCAGATCACCAACTGACAGGCCACAGGCTATTTTCCTTTCAGTTCTCAACCCAGGAGATCCCCCATTCCCTGGGGTGGAAATTCTGCTCTGAGAAGCCACTTTATTTTTGGTTTCACAGTAGGATCCAAGCCAGCCCATGCCAAGCATTCTTAAAGGATCTCCTGTAGAAGCTGGCACCACTACCAAAGGGAGAAGCTCTCTTTTCTGTGCCGTAACAGCCTTGATCCTGGCTGTACCAGTTCAGTGCCTGGGGATGCCCTTGGGAAGCCTGTGGACAGGGATCCTGCCTATGTCATCTGTGGATCCAGGGTGGACACCAGCAAACAAAGACCACTCTGGTGCACTATGACACTGGTTTTCCCTACACTTTATCCTTGGCCCATAATGTTACTCTTTATGGCCAATTGTTTTCCTTTTATTTACATATTTACTTAAAAGTCCCATTGGGTTCTCCTCTTCTATCATTAAAGATGTTGCTTCAAGATCACTTAGAGAGAAACGCATAAAAGAAACTGGGGCAGAAGAAAGAGATGCTTACAAGGCTTGGGTTGAGAAAGAGAACTGAGGAACAGAAACTAAGAAGCCATTGTTTAGTTCAGGGAGACTCCTTGGGATCATTAGGCTAAGTTTTTCGTATTCTTGCACTTACTTGAAATGATCTTTGAAATGCTGATTCTTGAAATGTGGAGTGTTGTTTCCAAAAGAGAAGAAAATAAGATGGGTTGGGTAATAAGAAAGGCGATCATGCACTGGTGATTCCAACCATTTGTCTTTCTCCTCAAAATATTATCTATTTTAACCAAAAGGAGCCTCCATTTCCCCTTCATTGCCCATTAGTATAAGGGTCCTGGTGGCCATCTGCCTCTGCCTGGAGGTGCTGACCATCTGCCCTGCCCATGCAGACCAACAGCGGAGAGCAGGGAACCTGGAGATCATGTATCTCCCATACCTTTCCTCTGTCTTCTCATCAAGGTTAACGCCAGGGCTGTTGTCAATAATAAAGTCATTCCAGGAAAAGAAATAAAGCACAAAATCTCACAATTCTTTGCAAATAGAAAAAAAACTATTAGTGATGACTACTTTGTTCTAAAATACTAGATTAAGACCTGAGTCTTTCCTGCACCTTATCCCATTTTGGCATTGGCTGATAGCAAAACATGGAGGCGACTATTCTCGAACAAAAAGCATTGACTATGAATAGTGCAAGAATAGCAATATGACTTTTCTGCCCTGGGCATTTACAGACCTTAAACAAAATGCAAATATGTCGAGCATCAGGATACCTCAATTTTGGGGTTCCCAAGCACAGTCAAACAGGTTGCAAAAAGAAAAGTAAATAGAAGTATGGAGAGGATAGAGGCAGGACCGGGTAACTGGAAAGAATCATTGGTCCAGATTTTATCTCTTACATACATGTCGCAAGTTACGTTCTATAACCCAAGATCTTAAGAGTAAGTTGTTCTATCATTCTGTGAAACATATTGTCTCCTAGACATAGCAACTTAGCCATGCTTCCAGCCCCAGTTTCCTTCTTCCTCCTGCCTCTCCATTGCTTCCTGGCCTCTCTCACTCGCTGTCCTCTGGCTTGTGAAAGAGAACGCAGAGCCAAAGGAACTATGCACATGGGAGCAGGAGGGTTTGAGCTACTGCAGGTTCTCAGGGCTGCCTCTACAAGAAAGAAACCACCAAGATCTGTTAAAAACCAGAGAAATAAAGAAGAATAAGCGGACGAAGCTTGCTTTTGGTTTTGTTCTGGCTTCAGAAGAGAAATTTCAAGAATGTTTGTCCCTCATTTCACAACTAATTTTTGTGTTTAAGGAAAACAAGGAAAAGACAAGAAAGGCATCCTATGCACCTTTTGCCTGGCACAATAAAGTGCTCCTCTCAACAGGTTTATATTTATTCATTGATATGCAGGGCAGTAGCTAAGAAAATAGATTCTGATGCAGACTGTTTTAAAGGTATTCTCTTGCCATTCAGTTTTCTCCTGCTACAAAGATTAGCAGAATCTTGAGTAGCATCATTTAGATGCTAAAAAGCAAAAATTGTGTCTTGTTTATTTCTGGATATCTCTGCACGATGCAGTTTTGAGTTCATAGTAAATTCTCAATAAATGCCTGTCAAATTAATGGATGATTAATCATTTTTCCTCAGGGTTTTAATCTATGAAATAGTATTGTTCTTCCCATCTTACATTTTTATCACTATTCTAAAATATGCATCCATTAGGAAACAAAAGTACAGCCTTATCTCTAGTCCCTTTGTTAGATCTTTTCTTAATTATGGGTAAAAGAAACCACTTCATTTCATTACTTCTGAGTCTTCTCACTGAGAATCCCAAGAATAACCAGTTTTTGGAGAAGGGGCAGAGCAAAATGGCGGGGTGAGCTGAGCCGGGATTCTCTCCCCTCCAAAATACAACAAAAGATTGGAAGAACTGAATTTCAGAGAATAAACATAATGCCAGCTCGTTAGAGACCTACAATACCAAGAAGGCGGAGATCATAAACCCCACTTACAGCCTTGGAGGCGCTGGAACAGTAGGAGAGAACATCGCTCCCTCCCCTAGAGTCTGCGATTCGCTGCGGCGCGGGTCGGGAAGAATAACCAGTTTTTAATTTCCAAAGTCACACTGTGTCCCTGATCATATTCACAGTCACAGTACAACCACTGAAGCAAAGACAATGTGTTTGGAAAGTGTGGGCAACTAAAGCAACTTGAAGACATAATAAATAAATCCAAAGCTGGAATGAAATAATAAAACCAAAAATTCCTTCTTTAGCATCGGGGTCAAAAACAATACTCCCTGTCCAAAACCTCTGTGAGATTTGTTAAACTTAGCTAAAAGCAGCATCAACAAATCTTGAAGCCAACCTAATTGTGGTTCACAGTCTACATATTAAGCCCCATAAATTCAACAAGTACTTGAAAAGCTGCTGAGGAATAGATTTAAGACACTTGTTTCACAGTCCTGTCGAATTGTATTTGTGCATCTGACAGAGAGAGTGTCAAAATGAAATGCATTCAAAAACATAAAGACTCCCATCTTTCACTGAGTAACACACACTAGTCAAATGGAAGCCAAATAATTCAACAAGAAGGAACCAGAACTTCATTTGTGGAAAGAAGTTATATTTAATTCAAGAATTACAAACATTTATTTCCTTTTCTAAGCAATTTTACTGGACCATATCCTTTGGAGTCATTTGTAAACCTATTTCAATTTTATAAGTTAGAAATTCTTATCAGTCCACTGAAGACTTTTCTCCATTGCCTCGTCTCAAAGAATGGATGATGTTTCCTTTGTGTTCTATTTATGGGAGCCATATCTTTCTAGCTTCTTCCTTGCCCAATGTATCCACATGTCTAATGACCATAGACAGCAGCCACAAGATCCAGTTAACATCTATTTTTGTCATTTAAGGGTCTCTTCTGAACATATTTGTGCAGTTTTTAAGGTACTCCAAAAACCCACAAAAGTTAGTTTTACTGGATAGTCCTTCAAAAATCCCATAGAACCAAACCACCAGAACAAAAGAGAATTTTTCCTACTCTAAAATTAACTGAACATGACTAGTGTGATTTGTTTGTAAAAATCTATATGAGTGAACCAGGCTTTCTTTGTCCATGGGCCTTTACAATAATTGATATTGTTTTTAAAACTGGATTTATTATCATGGTTGAAACTCAGGTAGTGAATAGAAGCTGGGAACGGCTTGTAATTGCTTCAGGTCCTTTTCGGACATGACACAATAAAGCTTTTAGGTCTAACTCGGAGGGGATAATTTAGCCGTGACTGGTGAACACCTTGTACATAGACTCAGATCATAAAGATTAAGCATAGATGACATGGAAAGTGTGATCTGAAGATGAGACTATTAGAACAATAATATAGCAATTTATTCTCAGTGCACACACAGCTTTCTGAGAAGAATACTGGACCTTCAGCAGTTCAAAGCAGGCAAAAAAATTCATTTACCCTCTTCCTCCACAAATTACATAAAATTTTGTCACAATTGCTAAGCTCTTAGCTTCTAATCATTTTCAAATACCTAACATCAGTCATAGTAATTTTTTATAATAATGACAGGCCACTCATGTATTATGCCTTTCCTTTGATTCATATTAGATAGCTATTTGATTGCTTAGATTAAAAGTTGGGGAAGAGAAGAAAAGGCATTATTATCTTTTGGAAAATCTACTTTCAAATAGAAAAGATCCTGG